TACCTACATCCATGATTGCAGTCTGGCAGGCAAGTCCAAGCCAAATGAAAAAAAGGATCGGATGTAGGTGCCTGGAATTGGGACCAGGCCTGCAGCTCTGAGATACCGGATGGAGGAATGCACTCAATCCCGTCCGAGCTAGCCGCAGTTGTTTCCAAAACTGTATCCAAAAACCGTTCACGCAATGCAGGAAAATGCTGGCCGAGAAATAAAATGCTGTCTGTGCCAAAATTGTAAAATTGAATAAAAGAACCAACTGCAATCTCAACTCAAGGGCCCAAGCAAATGCCAGCAGGAGAAGGAGATGCAGTGAATGGCCAATTGTAAAGAAGCCAAATTGTGTACTCTGATTGTGTGGACCGTCGCTGCCGTGCCAAAGCACTATGTGCAGAAAATTACCAAAATAATGAAAAGGTTGATTACAACGGGCCAGTGAGAAAAGGAGGGAGCCCACCCCTGAGGTTCTTGCAATCCAAATCACAATAGCACAAATCAGAAAAATTAGAATGTCTGCTTCCACCTGGTTTGATCTTGTCGTCCAATTGTCAGGAGGATGTCCCCTGCGCTGCCACACTGGAAAGCAAGTACTGAAAATGCTGAATATCAGGGCCAGAAAAATCTGCTGGGAGCCCACCCCAATAAACCCGTGTTGTATCCACTGAATTGGTTGCAGGATCCGAGTCAATGAGGATTGTCTCACAGCGTCAACTGGACTTCTCTGCAAAACTCTCTGAGTCAGGTAGTCAGGACAAAATGTACCCCTTCCAATAGCAAAAATGATCCAGAAAAACCACAGCTTAATCGCAGCACCTGTACTCGAGCACAGGGCACAAGCAGCCAGTGAGGAGGCAGGATTCCAAGGAAAATCTGGAGAGCTGTCAGCAAGGGAGTCCACGCTTTGCAAATGAAAATGGGGTTGTTGTTTGAACCGTTGCAAATTCAAATTCACTGGGCCAGTCAGAGCACGGGAGCCCACCCCACCGTAAGTTCCACGACAGCAGCGGTGTCCGTCAATTAAATTAAAAAAGGATGTGTCGTGATCACCACCTGGCAAATAAATGCGTGGGCAGTGCAAAAAATGGTTCCTTGTACAGCACCAATTGTTGGAACAGTCAGTTAGGGAGTCCACCCCTTCCAAAGCGCAATGTTGTTGTGGCACAGATTGCCAGGATTGCCAAGTTGCCACAGGGCCAGTCAGCGCTCGGGAGCCCACCCCGCAGTTTGTGGCACTGTTGTAGGGGTCGAAGATGCAATAGTGTGTCTGACAGGAGAAAAAGGTACCCCCAAAATGATTAGAAAAAGCGCTATGATCTTGCAGTGGTCTGTCCAAAGGGGACCAGGCAAGGCCAGTCAGTGTGAAGGAGCCTACCCCAGTGGCCTGATCCCCAGTCGCCCAAAAACAAAAGGTCAAGGCAATCACAATGGTTGAAATGATATTGGGCAGCGCGGTCGTGTTGGTCAGAAGATTGTTGACTCCAGGATTCCCAGAGCCCAAAATCGAATATTGAAAATCAAATGAAATGGGGCAGCAGCACAGCAACGAATCAAAAGGGAAATGGCACAGAGTGAACGGCTGGAAAACAGGCTGCGGCGTCGCTAGTGACGCTTTCGAGTGCGGCACTCGCGGCCGCAAAGGAGCTTGTGTGTGTGTGTGTCTGTGTGTCTGTGTGTCTGTGTGTCTGTGTGTCTGTGTGTGGAGGGTGGGGGGGGGGGTGGGGGAGGGGGGGATCTGTGGTGGGGGGGAGGGGTGATGTGTGGGGGTGGGTGTGTGGTGTGTGGTGGATGGGTCGGGTGTGTGTGTGTGTGTGTGTGTTGTGTGTTGTGTGTGTGTGTGTCTGTGTGTCTGTGTGTCTGTGTGTCTGTGTGTCTGTGTGTCTGTGTGTCTGTGTGTCTGTGTGTGTGTGTTTTTTACTACCCCTTAACCCAATCCTCTGAGTCAGCAGGCGAGCTCGCACATGCATTTGTATGCATGGCCATGGGGGCACCAACATTTCGACGTCCGGTTGGGCTGCCATGGTCTTAGTCAAACCCTCATCCCTAAGGATACCAAAAGAAAATGGATCATTCCAAAAATCGACAGGTAGTTGTTAGTCGACAGGAAATCCAATGGAAAATTGAAACAAAAGTACAGGGAGAAATGAAATGGTGAGAACTCTCAGCCGCAGCCGCCACCGCGAGAACTGCAATCAATGCCCAGCGCAGCAGCATGCTAAAGAAAGCCGCAGCAGCAAAAGAGCAGGAAGCCAGCGCTGCCGCAAAGTGCAGGGGCAAGTACACATACTGGATGAGCACTGCTAGCCACCAGCCAAAAGAGCCCCACCATTTCCACGAGGTGGTAGTTCACCCCTCCGCAGTGTCCTGTCGGTATGCGGTGTCGGGAGAATCAACCAGTACATCACAGCATTCCGCAAAACGAAATCAGGTAGGTCGAAGGTCTTTGATGGAACTTGATTGTCATCACACAGAAGCCACTGACCCTGGTATCGCAAAGCAGTTCTGTAATGACCAGCTGAATAGTCTGGACCAAGATGAAAAATGATTGCACATATGTGATACCGCCACATGCTGATGGAACTTGTGGAATCTGCAAAGCATGGAAAGTCAATGCCATCTGTCGGAATGTCAACTCTCTGTGTGCACTTCAGAGGATCTGTTGGATCCGGGGTGCTGATGGGCCTATCCAGCATCAAAATGAGTTGCCGGGCCTCTGTAGTTGCTCTGCAAAGGCCTTGGGGGTCATGCCATGCATTTATCAATGTTTGAAGGCAACTGTGGTCATCTTTGTAATTGACATATGGCAAATGAATTGGAGTGTATCTGCAGCCCTTTTCGTTTTGCAACACGTCGTCGCCTTCAGCAGCCATGAAGCAAGGCTTGGTGACCCATTCACAATACAAAAACCCTGGACAAAGAAAATTCAACAGGTCTGTCGCAAATTCTCGCACGTCCTGCTGTTTCTTCAGGGCTTGCATTGATAAAACCCCTTCCCCAATCATCAACCACCTGAATGGTGGAAAGTTGTAAAGATCCAACGGAGCCGGACTCATCGCCGTCACATTTCGAAGCAACTCAAAACCACAATGCCAAAAGTGCCCGTGCAACCCCTCAGCAAGGAGTGTCATCCATGCAAGGCTAGTGATCACTGTGTTCACGAAGCACATCGTTCCTGTCGGGTTGGACAGGATGCGCACCAGTCTCACTTCTGAAGCATTTTGCCCAATTGTTGAGCCAGCGGCTGTCTCTGAAGGCTTTGTGGCTTGAGGTTGGCAAGTATGAGTCGCCAAATGCTGTGATAACACAGATTGGCTATCTCGTTCCACAGCTCCGGAGTGTGACGCATGCTCACCGTCCATAGCCAAGGTATTGGCTGAGAAGATGGTGAGGAATCCGGGGTTCTCTTGAGTGCATGATATCGAAGCGTGACCTCTTTGTCCCCCATCAATCGGAGGATATTGGTCAGGGATCTCTGGACCTGTTCCAGTGGTAGATGCGGAGCGTTGCTGGGTGTCAGTCGGGATTGACTCGCATCCCAACGCAGGTACGGCATTGTCTTCTCCTTGGTGATCAAATTCTGCTGGATACACGCTTGAAAGAGATCTGAAGCCGTGTCCGCGTTGGCTAACTTGGTGAGGCGCTCCTCCAAGACCATCATCATCGAGACCGCCAATGTGTGGCGCAGGGGGATAGTTTTCGGTCCCTTGTGCCACTCCTGGCTCTTCATCAACAAGAGTGGAAGCAGAGAACCTTCCCCTGGCGCAAGATGAAGCACGAACTCCGACTCTTGTAGGAGAGTATTTAAGGTGTCTTCGTGTTTCAATACCAGTTTGGCCATGTTGATCATCAGGTCTTTTGGCACCGACATCATTTCCGAGGCTGGCTTGCTGGCAGGCTTGCTCCTGCCTTTGTTGTCCGCCTTGTCCCCTTTGTGCCTCTTGTTCGATGTCTGTTGATTGCTCTCGGTGATGCCTAGGCCCTTCAATTGAGCCTCTGTCAACAGATTGCCCCAGATTTTGACCATAGAGTCCTGATCCTCCATAGCGTCGGAGACCCTGTCCGTTGATCAAAAAGATTGCCAAGTTGAGCAAGGGAATGCATGTGCTGGAGTGTTCATTTTGACCGCAAAATTGACATGGAGTCAAACAGGTCTGTTCCAGTCTATGTAGACACATCAGAGTTTTGGTTTGCATGGTGTTGTGCTCAGTATGAAGGTGTCTGGCAAAGACTGTCGGAATGAAAAAGCTTTGGGCACAAATGAGACACCGATACATCAGGCCATCTGCAATCCATGCATCTTGCGCAAAATCTAATCCAGATTTGGCAATGATGTCAAGTGACATGCCATATGTGTCTGAGGGGTCTGCATTGTGCTGCCAGATGCGCAGCTCCAGCAAGCGATGATTCTCTGCAATGTCTTCCTGGCGTGGCCATGTATGAAGAGGTAGCATTGGTTTGGACCAACGTGGCATCATCAACAAGAGGGCCATTTGTGTCATCATTGGGCAGGACTTCAGGTGCTCTTCAGGGTCATACTGCAGCTCATCATCTGTGAAATAGCTAGGCATCAGTTCCCGGCACCATTCGCAGTGAGCCCCCTCCATCATGAGATTGGCGTATACCTGGCAAAGCTGTTGAACCATGTACCAAACACGCTCAGGTTCCACTTGATGGAAAACTCGAAGATGTGCATGAATGCATTGTAAGTCCACAGCTTCTTGGCACAACAGACACCTGGTCGCCAGAGTCCTGAGCAGAATCGGGTCTTGCCATATCCAGTAAAATTGACGTGACATCAAGGCAAGTCCAACTCTTTGCACTGAAGGCAGTGGCATCATGTCGGACAACAAGTGCACGACGTCAGTGGAGTTGAAGGCCCATGGGACCACGATTTGCATCCTGAGTTCATGGATGACTAAGGCCAGCTGTATCAGCCCTGTGCACTCGTGAGCTGCAGTGCCCCAGCCATGGCTGGGGTTACAAAAGCACCCCAGATCTCCAAACAGAGTCCAGACCAAAAGCTCACGCAGCGTCTGGACCTCCTGAAGATGGTCACTGTGAGCTGCGTGAAGGTGCAATCGTAAGGCTTCAGCATTTTCGCAAGCCAATCCACAAACCTGACAGATGGTGGACAGCTGATACTTCAGATGTGACATCTTGTATAGAGCTTGCACATGACCCAATCTGGTCAGCGGCTCGATGTAGTCCTCAGGACTGAGAAGTTGATCAGGCGGCAGCGCAACCACTTGTGGCATCTGCTGTCTCTCGAAGGACAGCCTCAGAAGAGCAAATTGGATGTAGAAGACACAGATGTGCTTGATGTGTGAGGTCGGGTGACATACACATCCATGATGTGGTTTATACCGCTCATCCATGATCATAGCTCTGCGTTCTGCTTCGTGCCATTCTGAAGGATGGTTTGCTCGAAAATGGCGTTTGAGCTCATTTTTGCGATTGAATGTTTTCCGACAGCTGAGGCACGTGTTGGCCAAGAAGTGCTGGATCGATGGGTTGCCGAGTAGGTCCTCGGCCTCCTCTGTCTGCACAGCCTGATGAACGAGGCAGTACATTTCCACTTCTTCAGGTTTGAAGTGCTCACAGGCCTGTTCAGCCATATGGTAGACATTGACGTGGCTTTGAAGTCCATGCCGTGTCGTATACACCTTCTGGCAGTAAGGACAGGTCAGGGAGGTTGCATCTTCACTGACTTGCATGTCAATGCCATGCTGAACCATCAAAAGTGCCACTTGACGAATGATGTGACACCGATGTGTTCGTTTGAAACAGGCACCACAAAATTGACAAGGATTGGTTTCAATGCAGGCTTGAAGAAGAGCTGTATTGAATGGCTCATGTTGTCGAAATTCCCGATCATGTTCCATCTTCCAGTGTTGCAGAAGCCCAGTGGTGGTGGTACAAAAGGTGTTGCACAGTGCACATCTCGTATAGAAGTATGCTAGCAGTTGAGCGTTGTTCGCCAACGCCTGTAGCTGGTGACTTCGCGCCACTTGTAGCAGCTCCTGGATGCGCAGCCTGTGTTCCACCTGTTCCAGATCCTGTCGATCAGCTGTGCAAACAAAGGTGATGTGATATTGCAATGATTGTTTGGTTGTGAATCTGGTGTTACAATGTGCACATGTCGGAACGCCCCCTCGAAAATCTGTGGGTTGAGGAGCATGTAGGGGTCCTGATCTATCGCCATGATCCAGGGTCAGATGACGCCTCAACGCCGCAAGGGTGGCGTAGATTTGAAAGCATCTTGGACATACATGTGGTGATTCCGGCACCTCTTCACGAGAAGAACCACGACGATGCCACACCTCCCAAATGAGAGAAGATTGCACTGCAAAATCTTTGGCTGGTGTCAGTAAGATCACGTCATGGGGATCCAAGCAATGTCTCTTCTGAGAGTCACGCTGCTCAGTGGCGCTGTTCAATTCCGACAAAAGCAGCAGCGGGTCTTCTGCACCATATGCCCGTAGAAAGGCCACACGGGAGAGATGAGTCAAATGTACTGGATTCCTGAATATACGTCTAAGCTGTTTCATGCACGCAATGTCAAAAGCTTGAAGGGATTGCTGGGTGAATCCCACAATGATCAAGCTGTGCAAAAGGCTGGCAAAGATACATTGTTTCCAAATACGTAATTTGAGTGAAATTGGTACACTTGATCTGACATAAACCCAACGATGTAGTTGTTGGCCAACTTTTTCACTGGCCCTGATCCGAGCATCCATTGTGAGGCGTTCAAATGAGTGGTAGCTGACCGTGGCTCCCAGATACTGAAAGTGCCGCACCAACTTGATGTGTGTTTCTCCATGGTTTTGTCTTGGGATCCTAAGGAAAATTCCTTCTGATGTCCTCTTGAGATATTTTCTGTTGAGTCGCTTTGTCAGTGGTCCCACCATGCGTAACACTGCAACCGTTTTGCTCACGTTCACTTTCATATTGAAGCTCTCAATGGTGTCCAGTGCAATACCAATGAATTTGATCGCTCTGTGAAAATCAGCCTCACTCTCCAAGACCTGATGAAATGTACCATCGTCAGCAAACAAAGTGACGCATGCAAGTACCCAGTCAAAAGAAATCCGATGAGCAATGGCACGTAACATCATCACTGAGAAAACTGCCCATAATGTCGGTGCAGCTCTGCACCCCTGACGGATTCCACGACGGGTTTCAAAGCTGCGTGACTCTCCCTTGTGCTGAAATTGAAAAGCAGTATGTTGATATATGGCCTTGAGTAGTTCAATGAGATCACAAGGGATGTTGAATTGGTTCAGACCTTCCAGCAGTTGGCATCTGTTGACCATGTCAAAAGCTTTGGTCAAGTCGAGGCTTATGGTCAGGCCTCCACATAGATGCAAACGTTCCAGCCCCTGAGCCTGCATGTGGACACGAAATTGATATGTGTCAATGAGATCCCTTACTCTCCGACAATGCTGAAGGATTCTGTGAAGAGCCTCGTCTACACCTCTGGCTGGAAGATATGCAAACTGCGGCCATCGTTGAAGTTCCTGCCAAGTGTGAGCCAAGATTTGTGATGCGCACATGCCCATGACTGATTTACCGCATGGTTCCAACAACGATATGGGACGTAGTTCAGAGGGTGTTTGTGTCCTCTTTTTGGTCTTCGGCAAGAAGACCAAGGTTCCATCACTCCAGCACTGAGGAAACCTGGCATTGGAGCTCCATTCATGTAGGGCAGGATCCAAATAAGTGGAGACCTGTTGAGCTGTCAGTTTCCAAAATGGTGATGGCACATACTCCGGGGCAAGTGCCTTCCGTAGAGGCAGGGATCGCAGTCCTTCACAAAATTCTGAACTGGTGAATGGCCAGTTGAAGGGAAGAGCAGGTGGTGATTCAGTGTCCTGGTAGAGCTCGGTAAACCACTGAGCCAAAAGATCAGCTTCCTGTCCAGGTGTCATGATATTGCCATCTGATGATCTGATTTGCAACCGACAGAATTGTTGTTTGGGTGCAAGTTGTCTGATCGCCTGATAGAGCCGGAAGTGGTCTCGAGCTTGACTGGCTTCACCTGCAACTTGATAGACACGTTCCAGCCGTCGTTTTCTAGCCATATAGTAGCAGATGTGATCTTCATCTGAGTTCTGGCCCTGCATTTCTGAATGACATGTCCCCAAGCCTGAAAAAGATGTTGTAGGGATTGTCCACGTAGCGCTCGGAGAGCATGATGATGTGCCTGGAATCGTTGAAAAGGGGTTAAATCATAGCAATGCGTTGGCGTAGTAGTTGATCGTTGTCGTTCTGGTTGAAAGGCATTGAGAGATTCATGAAGTGTAGCCATGGGGTTGTTTGTCAACGGGAGGTTGTTCACTGTCTGTATCACTTGATGTTGAAATTGTGCAACACGATCATTTGGAGCTTGCCATTGTCTGCAAAGTTCAAGCCTCTGTGATCGTGTCCATCCATATGCACCAGCATGTCGTCCTTGATGCCAGACCTTCAGAACAGAGCACAATTGTGGGATGTGTGATGCTCCTTGCTGGCAAACCAGGGGAAAATCTGCGAGGTATTGAATCTGTTTCGATGTACTGTCTGAGAAATGCCGTCTGACACAAATGAAATCGATTCTGGAATGTTGATGTCCAAATTGATACGTAGGACCCAGGCTGAAATTCCAGGTGTTCAGTGTGGTCAGTGCGTGCACCGTCAGCAGATTTTGAAACAAATGTTGATCCCCGTGCATAGTTCCCTTGCAGCGCTCTCCCTGATGTAGATACGTCGAAATGCCTACAGCATCAGATTGTCTCGTCAGTGACGTGCTGAAGTCACCAAGCATGATCAAATTATGGCGTTGTGATAGCTGGCCAAGAAGTGTGGAAAGACGTGTCCAGATCTCTTGGCGTTGGTCTATTCTGTTCGGATGAAAAATGTGTTGATACACTGAAACCAGGTCAATATGTCGTGTTGATCCATGAATTCTCATATGAACCAACCGTCCTGGCACAATTTCATTCCAAGAAAGTTCATGTTGTGAACATAATTTGCGGGAAACCATGCAAAGCAATCCAGAGTGAGATGAGCCTTCTCCACTGTGAAGAATATGGTAACCAGCGCTTTGCCACTCCGAAGTGAAAGGCCAGTGTGTCTCTTGGATGCATATGAAATCGATGTCCTGCAAGTCAGCCCACTGTTGTAGATAGTCCCATGCCGAAGGTGATAAACCCCCAGCGTTCCATGAGAATACCGTCAGTCTTTTCCTTTTGTTGGCAGCTTTCGATTGAACATTGGGACTTGGAGATGTGTCCACTGAAAAACCAGTGAAATGTGTACCCAACATCGATGATGTACATAATTTCCCTTTGTACCATGTGTAACCATGAATGGCAGCTCTCTTCTGTGCTCTGCGGAAACTTCTTTTGTACGTACAATTGTTTCGTTTGAGGGTTTGACTTGGTTCTAAAACCTCATTGAGCTCCTCGACATGTGGTTTCACCGACACAAAGTCAGTTTCCCCGTCATTCATGTCCATGACGGAACCCTCACCCCACTTTGGACTCCACCAAGAAATGTCGTTGATGTAGATCAGCAAAAATATCAAAAAGTTTGCATACATATCCAAAGCCCGGAATTGGGACCGGGGTGCGAAAGGAGCGCCAGTCAAGGATCGCGTGGTACCCTTGTCAAATCAAATCGCTAAGAATCACCAATCAAGGGAAACTTTATCCAGCAGGAAAGGTGAAGCCCAGGAAAATGAAAATGGCAATAAATGGAGTCGATGCCCAAATACCACACAGTCCAGATGTCAATTGTAGCCACCCTGAGTGATGCTAGGTCCAGTCAGAAGAGGGAGACCACCCCAAAGAAGACGAGCTTAACAATGAGGAGGTAAATCACCAAGCACAGGACCTGCTCAGGGTCAGAAAGCGCTTGCGCGTCAGCAGCCGCGGCAGCAAGATCTGCTAGGAGCAGCAGCGCCACAGCAACGCACCTCGCCACTTCGAGGCCACCACGCCACCGCCAAAGCACCCAGAAGAGAAAACGTGCGTGGGGCAATGGCAGCGGCTGACACCTAGGATCGAAGATCCTTGAACGCGGCACTCGCGGCCGCACAGGGGCTTGTGTGTGTGTGTTTGTTTTTTTCCAACACACCTTTTCTGCTAAGCTTCAAAGGTCCGTGCCAGCCTTCAACGAAAATTGTAATCGTCGGTTCCCTCATGGAATCTTAAGGCCACGTGAGACAATGGAGAAAATAAAAAGGTGAGAAAGGATCCCATCAGCAAATTGGAAAAATGTTTCACCTCATTGGTCACTTTCGGTCTGATGCTCCATGTTGAGCCTGTAGCAAATGCAGCAATTCTGAATCTGGAATTTCGTCGCCCTGAGTCTTGCATTCTTCAGGCAGCGATGCAGAATCCTGAGATGTTTCAAGCATGAGAGTGTCCAGAGCAGGCTTTGCATACACTTGCATACGAAGATGGTCTGTGCGTACCATCCAAATCACTGTGGCATTCTGTGCAAACCAGGTGGGAGTACGCCAAGTCGGTTTTGGTTTCTGCCCATCTTCCGTCTCCAGAAATGCCGCCGGTCGCGTCTCTGAAATCATGGTCGGTTGAATTTTCAAAAGTGCTCGACAATGCCCCGCCAAATCCATACCCATGTGGGCCGTGCCAGCTACTGGGATATACCCTATGTGATCATACTTCAGGCTGTGATTCAAGAAGATTGGCATGTTGACCTCTGTCTCCATGTCAATGCAACACATGCTGCGTCCAATGTCACCTGCCTCAGCCTGATGGTGCCTGTCGATGGCCAGGCAAAGGCAGACAGGGGCAGCCAACAGGGCTGCGCGCATCGATTGCTCCTGAGACCAGGTTGAAATCAAATCATTGAGGGTACATTTTCCAGCAGCATGCATCGTGTGAGTGATGGTCAACATCAGTGGGGTGCAAGCAATACTGGTGTCCATGATCATGATTCCGTCTGCTGTGTCCAGCCGCCTTTCCCAACGCATGTCAAACGCTTCAGATTGAAGCCAAGTCAGAAAATGTTGTGCGCATTCTGCACTGTCCTTCTGACCCTGGCTGGGTCCCCAGTTGCACAAAATGTCTCTAAACCAACTGTTGTCTGCCAGCGTAGCCGGTGAATTGGCATGCCGTTTCAGAAAATCAGTCAGAGGAACATGATGTGGCCCCCAATGTCGGAGCTCGGTGTGCTCCAGATTCAAAAGCGTCCAAACCAGGCAGTAGAAACAACTGTTGGCATAGGAAACAACTGTTGGCATAGCACCAATTGCTGTCATTGCAAAGCGCCAGTCCAAACAAGCACTGAGCCAAGCTCCTTGCGCAATCAACCTCTGTTCCAGTGGTCAAGCTGCATGTTGAGGAGGAGGTTGGGTCTTGTTCCGTCCTTTGCCTCTGCCCTTGGATTTGCCCATCAGGTTTTGCAGCGTCGTTGCCATCGGTGATTGTGACAAGCTGTGCTGCTTCATTGTCGCTCCCACTGCCATCCAGACTGAGTTGTGGCACAGCTGATACAGCAAGTCGTAGGCCCTGTCGCTCCGTAGGTTGATCTGAAGTCTCCATGGAACCGCCTTGGTGTTCTGGTCCGACGGAGCCCGAAGAGCATGGAATCGGACAATCATCTCCTTGTCCAACATCATTTCCTGAAGCTCCGTCAAATGTTGGAACATCTTCTGCGCACTGATCGGATGTTTCTTGTCGATCACCAGCTGCGTGCCATCCCAGCGGTGGAATGGAAAGCTCCTGTCGGCCAGAATCAACCCCTTCTGCACTGAGGTCTGATACAACTGGTCTGTGTCCTTGCTCTCCACTATCTTGCCCGCATTGGTGCTGAGAGCCTTCAGCAAGGCCAACACCAAGTGTTGTCTCAGAGGTTGCAGCAGCATGTTGGATTTGCTCTCCATCTGCTTTTTCCACATGGCCGATTCCTGGATCAGGAGATGAAGTGCACCTGTTGGATCTGGATTCAAAAAAAGAATGAATTGATCTGTGCGGCGCAGACTGTTCATTTCTTGATCGTGTCGTACTATGAGTTGAGCCATGGTGGTGAGCAGTTGCAGAGCTTTGCCCGTGGGTTTCTCCTGCTGCTGCATGGTCTCTGCTGCGTCTGGGTTGTTTGGCCCTCCTCTGCGTGGCGCCTTTGTCTTTCTGGGATTGGGAGCCAGTCTGAGGCTCTGATCCAACAGGGGTGCCAACTCCTTGAAGGTCTCCATCATCTGTGCCGAGATGGTCGAGTCGGAATCCTCCATTGACGCATCCATGTTGGAGCTGTCCACAGTTCAACAGTGATCCCAGCAGCAAGGAGATCTGGATCAGCACCGGGCAGGAGCTACGCAAATGTGAGAGGGCTAACAGCACTCGATCCGACAAATGTTCATCTGGGCGCATGTTTGCAGGCAGATTAAAGATCAAACTGCACAGGCTGCATTGGTAATCATCTTGATTGAGTGCATGCAGATGCGGTGCCAATTGTTCCATGTAAAACTGAAACATGGGGTTGCCACACGGGTGCTCCTCCCGCAAGTGAAGTGCCAGTTCAGCAGGCAATGGGCATGAACCACAGCAAATGCATTGGCGTCGAAGGAGTGCCAAAATTTCAGGGTCCTGCCAAAGAGCTTCAAATTGTCTGTGAACCAAAACCTGCTCCAGTCGATACTTGTCAGCACGACTCAACTGATCAGAAAGAATGTCCTGCAAGACCTGCTCAGTGATCACTGTGGGAGCAAAAGGTTCTCGTTGCAACCTGTGAAAACACATGGCCAGTTGACGCAAAGGCATGCAAACATGATGTCCACGCTTGACCCCCAGAGATGGGTTGCAGCAGCATTGTTGTTGTGAAAAAGCTTCAGTCAGCACCATGGTCAAACGTCGTGATTTTCTCCACAGCCTGGCATGAGCCGATTGGAGGTGGAGTGCCAGGTCGGCTGACCTGCTGCAGCCCTTGCCACAAGCCTGGCAAACCACAGTCAATCTCATTCGAGTGGCTGCAGGGCGCAAAACTTCCAAGCATTTGCCATCCAAACAAGCTTCAACCCAGGGAGCCTCCACCTCTTTGGTTTCTGCCGATGCTTGGGGATTGAAGTGTTGGCAGCGGCCCTGCACTATGTGGGACTTCAAGCCCCCTTTCGTGAGAAACA